CAGTTATTATTGCTAATAACCCGGGCTGGTAAGAATGGCAGATAGTTTCTAGCATCACAGGTAAACATAATCATAAGACAGCCAATTTTCCTCGCCAATTTGTCAGTCATTTGCTTGATTGACTGCTTTCCCATTGAGTTATGGCCATTTTTCATAGTATTTAAAGTTTATACTTATGTACCTTAATCGCTTTATGTGATATGGTAGACAGATTTAATACTTAAAGATATTTAGTTCATACCTTGAGCGATTGCAGGAACCTTAGATTTATTATTACTTATCGCTTTACTATGTCTTGTTCTGCATAACATGGCTCACAATCAATCAAATGTTTCCTTTAAAATGGAAAATGTTTAATGACAACTACTGTCTGAAATAAGTATTACTTTTATTAGTTTGGTTATTAAATACATTTAAAATATTAAAAACATAAAAACATTCTAAACAATATTTACCATTAACTAAAGTTGTGTTATTTTGTTGAATCTCACTAATCTCAGTATTTATGGTGTTATCCAAGCTGTTTACTGTAGTGCTATTGCCGCTTGTGGTGTTAATTAAGTTATCTACTAAATTATCTATTATCAGGTAAAAATCTATTATTTATTTAACATTTTAATTTAACATACCTATGTTAAGATCAGTATTTTTACTTTTATAAAGCCATTTTTTCATAAGACCAGAACTGCTTTTTGGGGCTAATTTTTTATTCTAAAATTCAAGTTTTGAAATATTGATTAATTTATAATAAAACATTAAAACATTTAAATAAAATTGTGCGCTTAATTTTAATAACAGCCATTCATGCAAACAGCATCATTTAAACTTGAACCGAAAAAATATGCCAATATTTAACAATAAAAGCAGAGAAGAAATAATTATATAAATAATTAAGCTATTTAATCAACTTATATAAGCAAACTAAGATAATGCAAGCTTAAATTGGGTGCTATGGATACATATATACCATAGTACATACTGAATGTAGGAAGTACTTTATTCTTCAATATTATTTAAATATGATAAATAATATTGAAGCCTTTGGTGACGGTCCACATGTCAAATTATATCCTTGTAATAGTAATAATATGGTGACATTTGCTGGATAAGAATAAAAAAAAATGTGTTTACTTTATATTTATAAATTATAATATGTTAGTATGTACCATTTAAATAATTAAATAGGTAGGTATACTATATAGTAAGTTAGTATTACTGTATTAGTGTTTTACCTTTTTTAAATCCATGTTCGCTACGCACGTCACTTTCACTTGGTCACTTCTTCGTCTAAGTAATTAGTAAAATAAACATAAAACATGACGAATTTAATGGTCACATTATTATCACTTTCTGTATTGCATCGTGTTATCATATAGATTACACAATCTTCTATGTGTATATGATAATAAATGTTATGGAATGGATTGATAACATTTGTGTAAAAAATATTAAATAAAATACATACCTACTTAAATTAAACAATATTACATATTCCAATAATACAGAAAATTCACGATTTTTGGTACTGACCAAATTGGTTTTTAGAGTTGCCCATTTCAATTTAGAACTACCCACATTGGTTAGAACTACCCATTAGCGCAAGCTCTGATCTTATTAATTCATTTTATTTGATAGGAATAATGAATACCTTAATTTTAAACTGGTATTATTTATGAATTCTGAAACGATATAGGTACTAAGAACATTTAACATTTGTAGTAAAAGCTTACAAAGTGTTAACATTGATTTGTGTACAGTAATTAATTTGATTGAAAGTTTAAAAAGTGTTCTTGACCAAATTAGAGAAAAGTGAAAGAAAATGAATTTAAATGTATAAAATTAACTGTGAATAAACAATATAAATCAACTGAAAATCATAAGCGTAAAAAAAGAATATAAAACTTCATAGATAAAGAATTATTTAAAGTTAAAACATTATATATAATAATCCATAAATTAAACAGCGCTTTACAAATTTACAATAAAGAATTGATGCATACAAAAGAAGTGAGAAATAATTTTAGATTGTTATTAAAATTTTTAACAGTAACACTTTTAATAAATTTACAAATTTACATACAATGATTTTAAATTTTAACGTTTTGGAATGCTTTCCTAGTGTAAAAAAATCTTTATGGTTATTATAATTTTACCAACTCATCTAGCACACCATCGCCAAATCATACAAATTATTAATTTAATAGACTACTGAAACAAGTTTAAAGAATAATTACAATTAAATATTTAGTGATTGATTCACCTGGTATATATCTTTAGTTAACATTATTAGTAAGGCTGCAAATTTGTAGGAAAGTGCATTTTTTTTCTGTGATAAAGATACATAGCTTTGCAAGTATATAATTTGAATTATGTAACAACACAAATCCATACATGAAACTTTTATTTTGCAGTTTTTTGACATTTTAAATTTTTTAGGACACATTTACCTTTTTTTGTTCGTTTTCCAGTATTTTTAATTAAATTCAATCATTTTTAAATAAATTTTTATGCATGTAAAATGTTATGTATTAAAATATGTAAAATATCCAATAACATCAATCTTATAATATAAAAATTAAATTAAATACCATTTTAAGTGTATTTTATACTATAATTTTTGACATTTTATATTGCATTTTTTAAGGTTTTTACTGTATTTAATTCATAGCCCTAGTTATTAGGAACATTTGTAGTTGGTACTATAATACTTAAGTAACAAAATATATATTAAGAGATAAACATGTTTCCATAATACTTATGTTTATGTCCACCTTTCTTAGATAATTTTTAATGTGTAGAATATACTACAATTAAGACCTGTTATTTTTTATAATATTGCTGTAATAGTTTTTTTATTTCTAGTAGGTATTTGTAATATTCCATCAACGAGGAGTTTTTACTGTTTTTCAGTACCTACAATAAATTAATATTAATTTCAACTTTTAACCTTATATTTATTTAACATGAAAAATAAAACAAATTATAATGAAAAATGTTGAGTTGTGATATTAATGTGAATTAAACGCTTGAACACAAGAGGTTACTGTTATACCATACGTGGTTATTATAAAAACCGGATAAGTAAAATTGAACAGTCTTGTGAGGCTCACACGTTGGGTATAGTAGGACAATCCCTCACTATATATATACAAACATAATTTAATACATAAAAAAAAAATTAAAGTTGAACATTCAACATAATATTATACATGAGAAAAAATTTAAAATACACAAAAAAAAAAAAAAACAAATATTATAGGAGAACTGCTTCTTCATGGTTGCGCATAAGGTCCAATTTCTCTTTCAACATATCCATCAATACGATGACCGGTGTTGCTCAAAAACATCAAGAGGTCTTGTTGCTGATTAAGGCGTTGGACATTTTGGGAAATTATATGAGTGGCATTAGCTCGTTCAGATCTTGATATGCCATCTCTAATCTAATAAATTTAATAATTTACATTATATTTCAAATTAATTATAACAAGTTTAGTATGTTAACCATTTACCCTGAGATTATTTCGTACTTGATTGAACTCCACTGAAAACTGATTTTCAATGTAAGTTAATTTACCTAAAACAAAACATGGCTGATTACTAATGGATAGCAATTGAATATAACAAATAATAAATTGTACACCAGTCACCAATAAAAATACACATTATTTAAATTCAAACAAAATATTAAATAAAATAAACGTTGAACTCAGGGTAAAGTAATCAAAAATAGATTATAGGTTAAGTTTGTCATACAGCACAGATTTTCTAGGACACTACTAATTTGAAATGTCCTGGATTATACATTTTAGTTGTTTCATAAAGTGAAATTATAGTCTTGTAAACAATTTTTAATTCATAATTACATGCACAAATCATTATTTATTTGCAACAAAAATCTAATTATAAAATAGTATGGTGTAATATAAAAAATATATAATTATTTAAATAAGCTGAACACAAGCTAAAAAAATATAAAACTGTTGATCTTAGTATAGGCATTACAAATAAAATCAAACAACTACAATAGTACACGGAAGCATGCTTTAAAAAATATTATCAACAATATAATAAATAAAACATCAATTGTTTTTAACTTAAATTAAAAAACACACAGATTTACTTACTCATTTCTTAAATATTGTTGAACATATAAATCACAACACATATAACAAACATTTAGGACAAAGATGCAACATAAAGAACACATCAGACTTTCTGACTCACGAAGGAAATCCCATATATTGGGGTGTCGTCCCATTTGCGAAAGTAGTGTTGAATGAAATGATTCTAAGTAGTTGTTCGTACGATAGTCTTCTGCAAAAACGCTGATTAACTCTGGACCAACCTGGAAAAACCAATAATGATCAATATATCCAATTAAAAAATTTCTCATACCCTGCTCAACTTCAGGAAATTGTTGAACATACTGCATGATAGCCCTGAAACCATCATACATACAAAACCAAGGACATAGAGGATGACCCCTAGCGGCAGGCAGATGAGGCAGTGCAAGAACCATTCTGAAAACACGAGCTGCATCAGGATTCCTCTTGACTAAATCCAAAACACCATTTAATTTACGATGACAATACCGTACAATTGATTGGGTATAATGAAACCAGCAACACCCCAATCTGCTTTCTGGAAATGATTGTTGAACTGCATTCATAAGTCCTTTTTCAAAATCTGTAACAAACCGAATTAAGTTATAGTTAAGAGGTAAAATTTGCCGAATAATATTAAATAATGTTATGTATGTTTCTTCTGTCCGACTTCTTAGAAGAACATACACCATTGGGAACAACACATCTTTAAATACCACTTGAAAAGTCAGAAAACTTTTCAAGTCTACCGGGGCAGCGGGAACAGTTTTGAATGTTCCATCAATTCCAACTGTTGTAACTGTGGCCAATTCTTCTCGGTATCTTCTAATTGCATCCAGGTTTGCAAAAATAATTCCTTCGCTTGTTCCATTTACCACTAATTCTTGTTGGAAAAATGCAGACGGTGGTGTTTGAAGGGTATGACTGTAGGCAGCATTCTCTGGTCGGATCAATGCTTCAGCAAGCTCATGGATGTTCTGAGGTATGTATCCGCCATTTGGTTGACGTGACCTACGCATCCTCATCCATCTTCTTTGTCCCTGTAAAAATGTATAATTGTTAGCAGCTTCTGGATATCTGAAAAAAAAAATAATAATAACAATTGAAAAGATGAGACATGAGTGAGCATAGGTGGTTAGGTTAATTGTCTAAACCAAAAAATTATAATTATTATAAATAATACAAATCTTTTTGGCATACTTTAAGGTTATTTACTTAAGTATTTTGTTTTTTAAATTTGTTTAACATACTTATTTATTTTACTAAATTGACTAATTATATTTTTTTAATAATACAAATTATTTATAATAATCAAATAATAATATATAAATAGGTATACAATTATTTAAATCAATTAATCTAAAGATACAGTACACATATACCAAATTTTTATTATTTTTTTTTTTTTTATGATACCTAGGTATAAATATGGCAATAATCATATTAAGTTAAAAAATCTTTAACTATTTTAGTAAAAGGCATATGCAGTGAGCATATAAGGAATTAAATACTTATAAATTCATAACAGAAAGTATATATTTTAGATGTATTATGATTTATAATAATAATATGAAGTTAATTGATAATTATTGTACAATGAAAGGTACATAATTACATAATTTATACCGGCTTGATTTATTTTTATATGAAGCATACAATACATAAAAATGTTCACTATAAAAATAACTCACTCTTTACATTATTAAAAATATAACTATAATCATATAAAATTAGAGAACTAAGTGTATTATTGTATTAAATAACCATAGTGAGGCTTAACAATTTTATCATAGTATAACTATAATACACATTTCTTAGTAGCTCAATTGCAAACATAAACAAATGAAAGTAGGCAAATACCTACTACTTAAAAAAACAAAATAGTAAAATTAAATATTAAATCATTTAATCAACAACTTACTGAACAATGGCGTTGTTGTATGCAGTCCTAACTGATACAGACATGTTTTCAGGATCAATGCTTCTTGCACCAATTGCTTCTCTTAGGAAAGGTACATGTAAATCTATGTCAGCAGGCCCATGGTTATGTTGATGTCTAACTTTTATCCTGTTGTCAATCAGTTCTGTACTCACTGATGCTGTACAAGGGCAATACTCATGATACCTACTTTTTTGACGCTCACATACTAAATACACACGGTTGATTGTGGCTTCACGTTTGTAAAACTTGAAACCTAAATTATCCACATAAATCCTTGATCCATGATGAACACCTGGAATCATTCTGTAGGTTAGTGGTACCTGATTCAAAGGGTTTTCTTCAACTAAATCTTCATCTTCAAGTACTTCTTCTTCGATTACTCCTTGTTCCACTTCATCCAGTTCTTCAATGGGGTTGTTCTCATATACAACTGGCCTAAAATAATCATGGTCCAATAAATGAACGGGAAGACCGATTTCTTCCTCGATATTCATCATATTTGTAGACTATAAAACAATTAAAAAACAAAGTTAAAAGTGACGAAGTGCGACAGAACGAACTAAGTCGGTGGTATGACCTATGGTCAAAGTTTTAAGTGACGAAGTGCGACAGAACGAACTAAGTCGGTGGTATGACCTA